TTTGTTTCTCTAGTTTTCATTTCAACGTATTGTTTCTACTTTTTTAAGCTAGTGTCTATTCCTGATGCTAGTGGAGGGGTATTTGATTTTCAAAATGGTGCACTGGTCATCAGAGCTGATGCAGCAGGGTACTCATCACATGAACTAATCATGTTTGTTTGTTACGTTTGATCTCATGACTCCACTGACTATGGAAAACCTTTCTATCATTCTCCACATAAGCCACATTCTTCGTTGTAGACAAGCTCTGGCAAATTAGGAGGGAAATCCTGTAATTAATAGCTCAGATACTTGAGATCTTTTCCATTTAATTCTGTAGTGATGCAAGTAAGCCTCGAAGGAGTATGAACCCATTAATAAATGCAGGTACGCTCTTTGTATACTTAGAAATCCTTGGGGTTAAGAACCTGTACTGTGATCAAAGATCAAGAAGATTGAATTTTCCATCTAAAACTAAGTGGGTGGTGGGTTCCTGCCAGAGCTTGAGCAGAAATAACAGCTAGCTGCTGCAGAAGGATGAAGGCCCTCGCCCTGCCCAATCTCCCCACCTCTGGCCATTTCCGCTCACTGCATACCTCTCGCCAAGCATCAAGCTGGACCAGGAGGCCTAGAAAGACAAAAGCAAAATCCAGAATTAATAGCACCTTCACAGCTGCCAAGACATTAGTCAAAGGCGGCACATTGACAGCTACACCTCTAAAGGAGGGCAAATCTAGTCGTGATTCATCCTAGGCTAAATGTGCCATCCTTGGGTGGGACTATGCTGATTTTGGGTCAAGTCTTAACAATGTTTCTGACTTGTAACTAATTGTTTTAGCAGGGGTCACAACATTTCTGCACTCATGTCTTAAATGATCAAGTTATCCTGAATTCTATGTACAAGAGGTCTACAATAATAATCTGTTTGTTTGAGTCTTTGATATCTGTGCATAAATTTAAGGTACCATCTTTTTCACTCACAGCCAGTGGGGAATACGGTGACTTCTGACTTTTACCTATTCTCTAGCAATATCTTCATTGTTAACTAACACGAAAACCTTTCTAGGCAGGGCTTTACCAGTCTGATTAACGTGAACCCCCAAGTATTTGGGAAAGCCTATTTGAACCATGTTCAGTGAAGGCAGGGGGGATTCTTCACGTAGCACTTCTCTGACTACCCTCTAGTTGGCCCCTGCAGCGTGTTACAAACAGAGAGAGGCATCCCACAGCTCATAAAAGGCCTGTGATGTGGCTTGAAGCCCAGGTATTTTGGGTTCCTGAGTTTAAGAGTTACAGGCATGGTGAGAAAAGGACACTATTTGCTGAGGAGTGCTCTCTCTTCCTTGACACTGAAGTCTGTTACGGATTATTCCACAGAACTTACCGGCACATGGTACAACACTGAAAGGAAAACAGCACTGCATTGAAGTTCAATCTTCCTTGGCTTCCATTCAATGCTTATATATTTACTATCTCTTAAAAACTTAAGAATTCTCCAGTGAGTCTTATGTTTAGACTTTCAGAGATGGTTTCCTTTCCATTCATCTCTCTCACAACACTTTTGCTCCTGGACCCCATAAGGACACTACTTTCCTCCATGAAATTACTAAAATATATGCATATTTTCCCAGATAACTTAGTGCTTTTCCCCTTATGTCCTGGAGTATCTACATTAGGAATGATAACATTATTATTCCCTGTGGTGCCCTGCTGATATGACATACACTTCTTCTTTCTTGTGTTCTGAATATGGCATTCTTTTGATCAAATGTTTCCTAATGGGATTTTGAGTATCAGGCAGATTTCCTTCACTGTCTGAAAATACATTGAAACATGTGTTCTTTGTGGTCACTGGCAATCAGGACAAATGTTACTTCACTTCAGCCTGATCAGTTACGTTTACGACCTGTGATTAATTTCCTGAATATGATACTGACTTAACACCTCTTCTCAACATACCTTGTTATTACTTACGCAGCACAGGCCGTGTCTTTCAGGAGAGCTTTTCCACTGATGTTTTGACAGCAAATGTTGTAATTCTTCTGCCTTTAAACTTCCACATAATTTAGGAGACAATTTTCCCAAGTGACCAGTTTAATGGTCTTTTTCCATTCCTATGCTGCTTCTGTGCAGCTAATGAACTTTGCTTTAGCACATACATATTCTCTGACGGCTTTGAGATCCTGACTTTCACCCTTTTTCAGAACCGAAAAGATGCTTACTGAGCTCAGGCTCCGTTTCAGTGCTCCAGGCTTTGGATCTGTTTAATTTCTCAACAGAAGTTCTTCAGCTACAACTAAATCCAGGTTTAGGTTTATGTTTCCCATTATGCAATTACACAAAAAGGATTGGCAAAAACAAGCCGATACTATTTTAGCATTCTAGAATACTTTTTCTCTGATGCAAAGTTTGTTTTTTGAAAGTCTGCTGTTTGATCCAGGAAATGTAACCAAATCTTACGGATTCCTTTGAACTGAAGTTCTTGAACTCCTTCAGTTGATTCCTGATACAACTCAGTGATGTGCTTTTCAGCATAGTCTTCGAAATCTCACATGAGGGAATATGAGATCATACCTCCAGCCCAGTTAATCCTGGGCTGACAGCTGGGACGGCACTTTCTACCACTTCTATCTTGGAATAATCTTTCTGTGACTCATTTTCACTTCAGTATTTCAGCCTATTAAAACATTTTGTATGTTTGTAATCATCAGTTGGCCTAGTAATTCTGAAATCTTTCTTATATATTGATGGCAGACTGTGATAAATCTCAGGCTGAAGTATTTATTTCTTTTACTTTCAATAGCCTGCAGCTATTTGGTTTTGGGCTTTTTTTTTTTTTTTTTTCCATCTTGGCTCTATTCCCTTTTGCTGCAGGTACATTGCCAATTTCATCTTGCAATAAATTTGTAAGCTTTCTTTTTAGTTCAGAACAAAATCTGTCCTCCCCAGATCCCCCCTTCCTCCAAATCTGTTTTGTTCCTTTCCTCCTGGATTAGATACTGGGTTTGTTAGCTCAGATATAGTAATATCGGCTTTGCTGTTGTTGTTTTCTTTTCAGAGCAAACTGGTTCACTGTTCCAATTTTACAGATATGCTGGACTAAATCTCTGCAGGGCCTCCTGCCATTCTTTATAGGTGTTTGATCATCCTCTAATTTTTGGCTGTGATGTTAGTCTGCTGGGAAGCACAGGTTGCTCTTCAGCAGCACCTTTTGAATCGTCACCTCCCTGAGACCTTCTATCACCACCAGATGGAGTAATTTCGGGTTTATCGTTCATTTTCACTAATTACAAAATCTCCATTTTAACAGTGATCAAAATCTTTTGTACAAATTAACACTAAGCTCTGGTGTGGTGAAGAGGTATCGTAAGAGCAAATAAAACTTACACACACATGAAAAGCAGTGCCTTGGCGAAGCCTTGGCTCTGGGAATTACTAACATGGAAGCCTTAACATTAATCAATAAAGAAGGATAAATTAATTATTAACATAGTCTTACAGAAACAAGAACAAAGGGAATTGTTTATTAAGGATATTCCAGTGAAGAACCGATTTAAAAGGCATTAAAATACAGGATGAGATGGCAAGGTCAGTAGTATTTCTACCGATGGCAGGAGGCCCGCTGAGTTTGGTTGCGGATACGATGGGGGCAGGACCACAGAGCAACATGGCTTCTCCTCTCTTGCATCACTTGGTGAGCATGTGTAGCACTGATGGGAACACCAGGCTTCTTCGCCCATAAATCTGCTCCTACACTCTGCTATCCAACACAGGTCCAGACCCTGCAAAGACTGCTTAGCTTTCTGCATGGTGAGAATGGTTGTTGGAGCCAGACATCAGAGTTCCAGTAATCATGAGATTAGTCCCACTAGACTCCTCAGAGAGAGCGAACTGAAACACACAGTAAATCTGTGGAGGACTGAAATTGTAGAGCTGTGAAGGGTCTCTGCCCTGAGGAACACAGGCTGAGGAACAGGATTTACAAATACTCAAACGCAGCAGCAACTGCTTGAGTTAGGGCTTTGGCGGTGTGTATTTGGTTCTCAGAAGAGGATTCAGGCAACACAGACGGCACAGGAAAAGGGCACATTAAGACCTCAGTGACCGAAAATGCCCCTGCAGGAGAAAAGTTCTGAGAGAACCAGAGAACGCAAGGAGAACATGTTCAATGGCCAGCAGAAAGCAGCCGCACACAGGTCCCTGATAACATAAAAGAGGACACAAAGCCAAAGCAAAAAACACCTGAGATGGATGAAAACTAAAAGGAGACAAGAACTGCCACATGGGCAGCGGTGACAGATAGCCTTGCAAAAAAGGCCTCAGCGGTTTGGCTTTGGCAAGGGCGGCCGGGCGGAGGAGTTTCACCTGAAAAGCCACCTCGCAGAGCCCCTGCGGTGCCGTACGGCCCGAGACAGACCACGAGGTAACATAAGAAAGGAAACACAACGCGTACGTGTTTTCCTGCCTCGGCCGCACTAATAAACCACCCCGGCGGCCTCGTCCCGCTCCCCCGCGGAGGCCCCGCCCCACCCCCGTGAAGAGGCGCCCCCTGATGGCCAGGGTAGCGGCGCATGCGCTGTGCGGTGCGCTCTGTCTTCCTTCCGGCCGCCATCTCGTTCCTGTCCGCGTGCTGCGCCCGGTCTCGCTCCCCGCCTGCGGCCCCCGCCTTTCCTCCCGCTCCGGCGCCGCCGCTTCCGACCTGGGAAGGGACAGAGGAGACGGTGGGGG